AACGCTTCGATTATTGCTAAAACTAGTACACAACTAAATGCACATATTAATGCTTTTAATTTGCTGGCTTTAGCTAAAACTAGTAATCATTATACGAAAAATCATTTATTCGTTATGATTTTTTATTTTTTGGAGTCCACCATGGTTTACGAGCATATTTGTACTTATAATGCATGGGCTTTGTGGTATTAATCTCATCCTCACTAAAAATATCTTCAAATTCATGATGAGTCGTTTCTAGATTTTCTATAATCTCGCACGTTTTTTTATACATATCCTGCACAATGTGTTAAGTAAATTAATAATACAATTTTTTGATGACAGAAAATAAAATCATAAACTTACCATGGCTGACTTTATAATGCAAACAGAAGTTTTTAATTTTCTAATATCCCTAAGTTTCGTAGGTAACTCAAATTTAGGTCCCGGAAAAACAATATAAAAGCCTTCGACCAGATTCTCAATCAATAGTTGTCCACTTGTACCGTCAAACTGTAAAAAAGGCACGCAAATGTTCTCAGCTTGTTCATCACTGAGATTATATTCTAGTAATCCATTTAAAATAGATTGATTAATTCTAGCAGAGTAACACCTATCGCTAATGATCCTTGTTGCTGTGATTTTGGCGGAAAATTCCCATTCTCCAACATTAACACCTGACATTGATAGGAATTGAACATCGCATTTACGACCATTGGTATAGTTCGTACTTTTACTCAATGGGTAGAAAGATTCACCCCTTAAATGAACCAATTTAATTAATTAAAAATGCCATTATGTATCACAAGTCAAACAATATCTATATCTATACCAACCATTTCACATATACTTTGAGGTCATCATTTAGTTCCTCAACAATATATCCGCAAATTTTTAAAATTACATCAACTTCCTTATATGCATTGTTCGAGACAAAATCCAAGATATCACTTTTATTCATACATTTGTGAATGCTTTATATTGAATAAAAAAAAAAATTAATAATTAGGTTAAAAAAAAAAAGCAATAATCG